CCGTGGGCGAGCAGAAGGAGCTGCAAAGTCTGATCAGCTCCTACGGAGCCATTCACACTGGTGATAACAATGGCGGAAACAGCAACAACAACGGAAGATCGGTGATGACTTCTTCCTCGTCCTCTTCAGAGACATTCGACAGTGATGGGACGATAGTGTCCGGTAACAACATGGGCGTCGAGTACAGCAGCGTTGGGAGTGCCATGACGCCCTCCGAGACGGCCCACCGCATCTTCGGCGCCGAGTGCCTCCCTGAGGAGCACTACTGCGCCGTCCACCGAATGGGCGTCAGTCCGGTGAAGGCGGAGCATTCGCACGAGTTCAACTTCTTTGCGCTGATTCGCTCCTGCACGAAAACCTGCAACCCCGGCTGCTTCATCATCGGCAATGGTAAGTGCTAATGAGTGTTCATATTTGCATAATCACATCACATTTTCTCTTTATCAGGCGAACGCACCAAACTGAGCTTCTGTGTGTCCTGCTGCACGAGCAACTACTGCAACTACGGCAACGCCGCCGTCGGCGTCTTCGGCTTTGGTTTTCCGCTGGTGGCCATGACCATGGCTGTCTTCAGCAGCCTCCTCATCAACGGTCTCATTACCGGTGGGCTTTCTCGCCACTAGCCCATCCCCTTTTCTAAATGGGCGATGGGCGATTAGAGAAAATCAACATCAACAACAACAGCAGCACCGGTCATAATAATAGCAACAGAAGATAGGAACAGCAACGGAAACCAACGGTAGCCAATGACACAAACGATGATGATGATGATCAGTCATCCTCGAGCTGAAAAGTAGTANCTTTGGTTTTCCGCTGGTGGCCATGACCATGGCTGTCTTCAGCAGCCTCCTCATCAACGGTCTCATTACCGGTGGGCTTTCTCGCCACTAGCCCATCCCCTTTTCTAAATGGGCGATGGGCGATTAGAGAAAATCAACATCAACAACAACAGCAGCACCGGTCATAATAATAGCAACAGAAGATAGGAACAGCAACGGAAACCAACGGTAGCCAATGACACAAACGATGATGATGATGATCAGTCATCCTCGAGCTGAAAAGTAGTAGTAGTGACCACAGAGCAATGGTCACCGCCACCACCACAAAGACTGCGCCCTAATCGATTGATCGATCGGTCAAGACGCAGTTAGTTTCCTTCAGCACCAAACAGCATCTTCTGCCGTTGCCGCCAAGTCCGTCTTGCAATTGCTATTTCAGACGCAGTGAATCAGCAGATTATAAACGCTTTGCCGCCGTNAGTAGTGACCACAGAGCAATGGTCACCGCCACCACCACAAAGACTGCGCCCTAATCGATTGATCGATCGGTCAAGACGCAGTTAGTTTCCTTCAGCACCAAACAGCATCTTCTGCCGTTGCCGCCAAGTCCGTCTTGCAATTGCTATTTCAGACGCAGTGAATCAGCAGATTATAAACGCTTTGCCGCCGTCGCTACTGTCATTTGCATCGATTCCCATTGAAATGTTATGTTTTCCTCTTCTTCTCTTCCATTGACAGTTATTAGCCTGTGCACTGGCTGCGTATTCTTCTTCGCTTTTTCATTCACCACTAAATTGTACCCTTTTTGCTTTAGTAATGCGCGTGAACAGGTCTTCCCTCTCTTCTCTTCTTCTTTTCTTCCTTCCTCTGCGCGTTTGCCAGTAGCAGCAGTAGCTCTCCATTCATGTTTCATGTTTCCTCTTCTTCTTGTTTTGATCATCCTCTTTTTATCCGCCAGTTTTCAATTAGCTTTGCACTTTGAACCACACACACACAAAATCCAATCCGAGCAATGAGTCCACAATGTGTATTTCTGCAATAAACAAAATAAAAAAGGTTTATAAACTGCCAGAATGTATTTAAAAAAAGAGATGTAAATACAGAAAATGGGAAGAATTTGATAAAAATGTGCCTAGAGTGATCCTAGTTTTGTTTGTATGTAATGCATAGTATGGTGCCTCAAGTGTTGTTTGTGCAATTGAAGCTCTTCAACATCAAGTTCATAAGTTCAGATAAATCGTTGTGAGTGTTTGTTTGGAAAGTGTGCGAAAGTGTTCAAATTTGTTTGATTTGAGAAGATAGAAAGAAAAAAATAAACAGATTAGCTGACTTTTCTCAGTTAGNGAGATGTAAATACAGAAAATGGGAAGAATTTGATAAAAATGTGCCTAGAGTGATCCTAGTTTTGTTTGTATGTAATGCATAGTATGGTGCCTCAAGTGTTGTTTGTGCAATTGAAGCTCTTCAACATCAAGTTCATAAGTTCAGAGAAGTCGTTGTGTGTGTTTATTTGGAAAGTGTGCGAAAGTGTTCAAATTTGTTTGATTTGAGAAAATAGAAAAGAAAAAAATAAACAGATTAGCTAACTTTTCTCAGTTAACTGTCATCATGCTGGAACAGGCACATTAAAGAGGTACACAAAAGTACTACCATTTAATCAATGCTGCAAGACTATGTTTGGAAAAAATGTACGAGTTGAATGAAAAAATAAATAGGAAAAGAATTCGGCAAAGTGTTCATCTTCTGAATAACCTCATCTTCAGTGGAATCAGTAGTAGTGGTGACGGTGGTGACCAATATTGCACAAAAGACTGAAGATATGAAAAGTACATACATTGTCGCGGTTGAAAAAAAGAAGGGCTTAGATGGACTTGAGACTGGATCGACCAAAGATAAACTCGCAAATTCGGTCGATGATCACAGCTGTGGTAAGGTCGGCGAAGAGCACCGAGATTACTGTTAGTTGAAACTGTGATTGGAAAAGAGGGTTAAAATGAATTCAACTGAATAAAAATCCCAGTCATACCTCTTCGGGAAACTCGACAATAGAGAACTGCTCGGAGAACTCGGGCATTGCACCGGTGACGAGGACGACAATCAGCCCAAAGGAGCCGACGATACTGTACATCAGGGGCTTGTTCTCCCAGAGGCTGCACATGAACGGGTGGCCCTAAACATTTAAAAGATTAAAAACCTAATTCCAAAAAAGAAAACCCTCTTACCTTGTAATTGACCGCAAAGGTGGACACCTGCAGTGCAATGGAGATGACGTAGACGGTACTGTTGAGCAGTGAGGGCTTAAACTCCGACTCCAGGTCGGGAAACTCCTCCCGCGGCGGGGAAAGGGCCACCGCCCCCTGGACTAGGTACAGCAGCGTGCAGAAGTGCACGGCAAACTGCAGCAGCACCGTCAGAATGGTGTAGAAGTTGAAAATGTTCGGCAGTGGGCGGCGAGGGGAGAGAACTTCCAGTGGCTAAATCGAAAAATAGGTTTAAAAGCTTGAAAATGACGCACAATTACCACCCACCTTGGATCGAGTGATAAAGAGAAAGCAAAAGGTGAGAAAGAGGCCTTGCAGGGTGGCCTGGCCGTCGCTGAACTTGATGCCATCGAGGTAGAGCACCGACTGGCAGTAGGCGAGAATGAGCGCATTCAGCGCCAGAATCTTGAACATCTGCAGCGTCGTCACCAGCGTACAGCGGCCCTGGCGGATGATGTGCAGAACTGGAAGGAAGAAAAAAAACAAACAAAATAGAAAACTTCTCATGACCAATCTCCAACTCTAAACATACTGCACTGAATGGAGGAGAGCTTTGAGGTGAAGGGGGCGGCAATGCTGGCATCGCCCAGCTTCACAATGGCCGCCTTCTCCTGCTCCTCCAGCTCCGCCAGCATCTTCTGCATGCGCTCCTGGGCGTTGTTGATGCGCTGCTGGTGCCGATTCAAGGCTGGATTATTCGCCGTTGCAGCAGCAGCACTGTTAGGAGAAGGCAGCGTTGGTGGTCCTCCCCTTCGATTTCCGGCATTTCGCGGCAGATTGCGCCCCGATTCTCGAAGGTTCGCCTCGCGGAGGACGTCGTTGATTGAGCGGCGGTTGTCGACCACTGCTGCTGCTGATGACGCTGCTGCTGAAGCGTTAGCTGTCGAGTCTTTAGCCGCCGACGCCGCCCCCTGCGGCGGATGACTGTGCGAGATGAGGGCGACGCCGACGTGGGCGTGCTTCAGCGCACCGACGTCATTCGTCCCGTCGCCGCACATTAGCGTGTGAAAGCCGAGCGCCCTCAAGGAGGTGATGATGAACTCCTGAGAAAAAAGAAAATGAAAAAAATTAGAACAAACATCACAATCCCCTTAAAAACCTAAAGCCTTACCTTCTGCTTGGGAGCAATGCGGGCAAAGACGCGCACATGCGGCAGTAGCACCGGCACATAGTCGGTGTAGTGGTCGAGCAGCGCATTTAGCGCATCCCCGGTGACGCAAAGGTCGTAGGCGGCGAAGAAGGCCCTCACCGATTTGAAGCCGCCCTTCGCTCCCTTCAGATCTAACTTCAGCGACTCGTCAATGGAGATCCACTGCATTGACATTGACGAGTCGCCATTCTTCACATCGTTTGCAGCCGTCGCCCTGAGAATGAGCGTGTCCTTCTTCGCGGTAAAGTGCAGCTCCTTCGCGACGTGACACGCCGTCAGCGGCGCATCACCGGTGATCATGGTGACGTAGTGAGAAGAGCCCACTAGCTCCTTCATCACCACCCGCGAGTCAGGCTTCAGCGGACAGCTGATGATGAGGAAGCCGGCAAAGTCGAGGCCCTTCTCGAGGTCCTCACGGGCGTACTCGCGAATCGGCTTACTCAGCGAGCCGAGGCTCTTCCGGCCGAGGGCAAGAACCCGAGTTCCTCGCCGAGACATCTCCAGGTACACCTGCTCATAGTTGGCCGGCAGCCGGGTGAACATCGGCTTCAGCACCTCGGGGGCGCCCTTCACCGAGGCGATGTAGGTCGTCTCGCCGGCCGCTCCACCGCCCGCCTGGGCATTGTAGCCAGCAATCACCGACATGCGCTTCAGGTGGCTGGAGAAGTGGTTCCGGTGAAAGATCTTCATGCCGGGAATCCTGCCCTTCTTCGGCACCACTGCGTCGCCCTTCGTCAGCGTCCAGTCAATCGCCGCCAGGGTGGCCTTCTCCAGCGGGTCGCCCACCAAACCGTCTTCCAGTTGGACGAGCGAGTTGCAGCTGGCCAGCACCTGAATCGTCTCGGCGGGCGCCTCCGAGGCGGGCACAATCTCGCCGCTCTTGTCAGGGTTCAGGCCGGCGACGCCTTCCACGACGAGGTTGTTGCTGGTCAGCGTGCCCGTCTTGTCGAAGCAGCAGATGTCCACCTTGCCGGCGAAGGGAATGCGAAAGGGTTCGGTGCAGAAGATGTCTAAACAAGAAAAAACAAAACATTAGATCAGAAGAAACAAAACACCTTCTCCCACAGCACTTACACAGCCTAATGAGCGAGTTGAGCGAGGAGTTGACCGCCAGCGAGAGCTCAATCGGCAGCTCCGGCGGCACCACCGAGGTGAGAATGAGCGCACACTCGAGCATCAGCTTGTAGCGATTCCGCTTCGGATTGGCCGACCCGCGGATCCAGACGTACGCGGCCGCGGCGATGGCGAAGATCAGCAGAAAGAGAATGAAGGCAAAGGTCTCGAGGTTGTTCGCGGTGACTCGCTGCACTCCGTAGAGGATGGTGCGCAGCAGCTTGCCCTGGCTGGTGTTGAAGCTGGTGCGGAGGACGTAGCAGACGCAGCCGCTGTCGGTGCCCTTGATGGCGGTGGCACTTTTCGGAGGGGTGCTGTGCTGGAGCACCTTCGTCCCGCCGTAGAGCAGGTGCAGGTTGCCGTCGGTGTCGATGTTGAAGGGGCGGCGCTCGGTGACCGTCTCCAGGGGCTCCTTCATCTGCGGCACGGACTCGCCGGTGAGCATCGACTCGTCGACGATGCAGGAGCCGCGCAGGAG